ATGTTACTCCTAAAATACGGCAATTAAATTCTACTAGAAAATATTCTAAAGAAATTAAAAGAAAATGCGTATGAAAAATAGCATACAAAATTCTATCCTAAAATGCTAAAAATAATAGAATATAAATTCTATATTAAAAACTATGCACTAATGTCCTAGGAAAATAAAACTATAATCCTAAAGAAAAAATAGAACTATATCTATTACAATCACACCTCCAATACAAGAAAATTAAATTGCAAAGGGGAGGGGGATACATCCTGAAAAACTGGGGTAAGTGCAGTAAAAACCAGAACTGGGCCCATCCCACAATACAAAGAATTCAGAAGAAAAAAAAGAGAAAAAACAAAGGCCAAAAAAGGGGGGGGGGGTGCGCCAAGTAGACTGGAGGTGTATGTCCAGCAACTCGTTGTTTGTTACTGGGCCCAGCCCATTCGTAACACAAAAAAAACTGAGGAAAGGGGGTGTGAAGAAAAAAAGGGGGGATGGATCCAAAACCCAAAATTGGGCCCCAAGGCCCACAAACCAAACCAACGGCCTCTCCTCTCTTGCCTCATCCAGATTCTGAAAACCCTAATTTCTCTTCTCCCTAACCTCTCAGTCACCCTCCGATGCGCCGTCGTACTTCCATCTCTCAATCTCACAATTCTCTTCCAGCAAATCTCCATTGTCGTTTGCTCACAGCTCTTTCATCTTCATCCATCCAAGAACAAGACTCACTTTGTTGCGTGAATCATGAAGAAGGCGGTGATTGATGAAGAAATATGGAATTTCTTGATGTGATTTTCGGATGAACAGAACGAACGGAGATGATGATGCTCCTGCTAGATGGTTTGATTTCTGTAGACCTCGTTCTTGATCCAAATCTGGCAAGGTTTGTTCTTGATGAAAATCTACGAAGATCTAGATGAAGACGAACGGATGAATGTTCTTGAAGGATCATGGCGAACATGATGAAGATCTGGGCAACAGATGACGGAGGGCGAAGATTCTTGAAATGATTTGAAGATCTTTGAAGTTTCTGGTGATAATTGATGAACACGAAGGATGCTATTGCAGATCTAGAAACAGTTGGACAGATGAAGGTGTTTGAAGATTCATTGATGATTTCTGGAAACTCATAATGAACACAGATCCAGATCTAAAAAAACGGTTATGGATGTGATGAATTTCAGATGAAGATATGAACAGACCTTGAAGATTATTGATGAAGTTGTGATGATTAATTGATGACGGAAACTGGAGATGATGAAGATCATGAATATTGATGGAATTGCCGTTGAAGTTTCCGGTGGGTAAGATGAATTTTCCGGCGAGGTTTTGCAGTTACCGGTAACGGTTGGATGAACATGATGGATGAAGAAGATGCATGTTCATCGGTGACTTGCAGGTTTCCGGCGAAAGACGGTTACCGGTGATGGTTAGGGTGGCCTCGGCGACAGTTGCATGGTCGGCCGGTGAAGGGAGGAAGGGGAAGGACGCGTGTCAACACGCATGGGAGAGAGGGAGTGTGGTGAAGCCACGTGTGGGGTGAGGTGTCAGGGAAGTGGTGAGTGCTGAAGTGAGGTGGAAGGAAGAGAAAACACATGCGTGGACTACTTATACGCATGACATGTGGCATATCGGACTGGGCCTCCAAAGCTGACTTATGGCCCACTGAATTGATTAACTATGATTCAAATAACACTAATTAACTAAGACTCAATTAAAATCATTAACACTAATTAACCTAACATAATCAAATATGCTAATGATGATTAAAACTCCATTAAAACTTAGTTAACTCTAAAACGAAAATTAATGCTAAGTAATTAAAAAACACTAATCAATTCTCCTAATTAATCCTAATTAAAAAAAGATTAAACTCTAATTAATCTCTATGAATTAATCCTAAACCTATTAAAAATAGAAAAAGATCTATTAAACCTATTTTAAAAATCCTAGTAAAAGAATTATCCTATTAAAAATCATTTTAAAGAAAAAAAATTACTTAATATCTAGAACCAATATCTATTTGAAACTATTTAAAAAGAATTATCTATTAATATCTAAAAACAATTAACATATAAAATCTATTTACAAAATTCTAGAGAAACAATTAAAATTCATTTAAAATTCTAGAAAATAAAGGTAAAATTCTAAAAAATGCGAGGAAGCCGATTAAATCGATTAGAAAACAGATACGCGAACATAGCGAAATAAACGGTAAAAACCGGACACCGAAATGTCCTCAAAAATAACAGCGAGAGCTGAAAACACCGGAACGAGCACCGATTCTCAAAATAAATCCTCGTATGGGCCTGAAATGCCTGAAGCGTGATCAGAGGGTTGTAATCCCGATAAAGCCAATCTGACTGAAAAAATGCAATGTACCCGGTATGCAAATGCAAAATGAAATGAGTCAAAACATGAGCCAAATTGCGATGAGTAGTTGGTCAAATTTTGGGGTGCAACAACAATCATGTCGTCCATGTAGACTTCGAGCATATCCTTGATCTCTCCCCGAAAGACTTTGTTCATCATTCTTTGGTAGGTAGCGCCAATGTTTTTCAAGTCGAAGGGCATTACGTTGTAGTAATAGTTGTCTGATTCAGTCATAAAAGTTGTGTACCTTCTATCGCTTTTGGCCATGTGTATTTGGTTATAGCCTGAATATGCGTCCATGAAGGATAACAATTTAAAAAACCAGTGGAATTATCAACTAATTTGTCTATGTTGGGGAGGGGATATGCGTCTTTAGGGCAAACCCTATTGAGATCGGTATAATTAACACACATTCGTCATTTTCCATTTGATTTCTTTACAAATACAACATTGGACAACCAAGTAGTGTACTTGACTTTCGAAATGAAATTTGCCTCGAAAAGTTTTTTTACAGCTTTTTCGGAAGCCTCCGTTTTTTCCGGAGACTGCTTTTGCCTACGTTGAGCTACTACCCTAACAACGGGGTCGATGATGAGTTGGTAGAAGGCGATCTCAGGATCTAATCCGGGCATCTCTGAGGCACTCCATGCAAACGAATATGCATTCTCCCGGAGGCAGGCTTTCAGTCGCTTCCTCGTGAGGTCGGGGAGGCCGGTCCCAATCTTCACACCCTTCTGGGGATCATTGCTGAGGATGACTAGTTTGAATTCGCCATCTAGGATTAGCCGCAAATGATGGGAGGTCTGGCCGTTGCTGGATGATGTGGAAGGGCTGCTCGAACATGGCTGGATCTCCTTCCCCTTTTGCCTCTTGTCCTTCAGATCATCCTTGGAGAAACGATTGTCTAGGTCGATGAAGTCGACGCGAGGCAACGATTTTGCTTCCTCAGAGCTGCTGGGTAGGGCAGGCTTGCTGACCTTTGGCAGAGAGATGATGTTCAGCCCTTTTGAGGCTGCCTCGAAACATATTCTGACCGCTTCTATATCTTCGTGCAAGGTGGTCACGAGTCCTCTGAAGGTGTAATATTTCATCTTCAGGTGCACCATAGAGGGCACGACTACCAAATTGGCTAGCGTTGGTCGTCCAAAGATGCACTGATAAAGAGATGGGTAGTCGATCACCATGAATTAAGTTCTGATGGACCTGGTCGTCTTTGTTGTCCCAAAGGTGATGATGAGTTCCATATACCCCAATAACTTTTTGACAGAGTCGTTGAAGCCTTGTAGATCAAAATCCACGTAAGGCGTCAAATGTGTCTCGTCCAACTGCAGTGTGGAGAATAGCTGGGGATACATGATATCGATCGAGCTGCCTTGGTCGGCTAAGATCCAGCGAACGTCAAAGTTGGTCATTTGTGCCCTCATGAGTATAGGGATACTGGAGTTGGGAGCTCCGCCGAGGAGTTCCTCGCGGTAGAAGGTGATAGGAATATATTCTTCCCTGATCTGGTTGAGGGTAGAGTTCTTGCTCGAGCTTGTGTTGATGAGGTGCTCGAACTTCCTTTTGGAAGACCCCACGATCACCTTGTTGAATCCCCCCTGAAATGACCATGGCAGAAGGGAAGGACTTCTAAAGGCTATGCGCGACAAAGTAAATAAGAGCTTCGAGGCCCTTGGGGACATAGAAATCCTCAGGCCGTGAAATGCTCATGGAGACCTGAAGATTTGTATCGTCCGAGGAGGGTACCTTCTCCTCAACTTTTTTCGACTCCTGCATCGAGGAGCGTCCTTCTTCTTCATGAATTGTTTTAAGTGGCCATCCCTGATCAAAATTTTGATAGCATCCTTGAGATGAATGCAATCTTCAGTCATATTCCCGTGGCTCTTATGGAACTCTAAGTTTGGGGAAGCGCACACTTGCTTGCCTGAACTCTAAGTTCGCGCAGTTGGATAAGATTTTCTCGCGCGAGACAGTGAGCGGCGTGTATTCGTGGAAACGGCCAGGTGACCCTTTCTGGTCACGCGAGACACGGGGCGGTTGTCCCGTCTTCTATCTGCTCCCCGACGAGATGTCGAGGCATCGTCATTCCGCGAGGACCTGGCGTTTTCTTGATGTCGGGAGTCTCGGGCGCTGTTTGCCGCTTCTTTCTCCTTGTACTTTATGTATGATTGGACCTTGAAGAGGAAGGCATCAAGCGCTAGGGTCTCAATGTTGATCGCCTTGGCAAAGTCGCTGCGGGAATGGAGACCCTGTTCGATCATAAACTTCTTCATATCATCGATCGTGGAGACCTGTACAACTTCTTTGTTAAATTTCTCGATATACGCACTGAGAGACTCATCTTTCTCTTGGATTATGGCCTCAAGGGCTGCTTAAAATAAGTGCATCACGAATTTTGAAAAAATAAAATAAAACCTAAGTATTGTTTCAGCCACTTGAGATTGATCAGACGGTCATAGTTCTCCTCACCGTTTAAAAACGTACAGTTAACTAACAGCAGTAAATATAGGTTCCGTTTTAATACCGTCTAAGCCCTAGCGTTGTTAAACATTCCTGCAAAGTTTGCAGACTCACGAACTTATAACACCACCCGATGTGAAAAACACAAATTCCAATAAACACCCACACCGTGATTCATGAAACCCCTCCCCAGAACTCGACCGTCGCCGTCCACCGGGGCCGGAGACGGTTGGTCCGAGGAGGCAACATTCACACTCATCGACGCATGGGGCAAACTTTACAAGACGCTTAGTCCTAAAAACTTCCGTCAGTATCACTGGAAGGAGGTTGCAAAAGCCGTCAACGACAATCACGGCTTCGTCAGAAAAGCGCGCCGCACTTACGATCAGTGCAAAAGCCGCATCAACTCGCTCAAGAAGACATACACTACCGAGAGAGCTAGGGTTTCTGATTCCAGCGATTACGACGACGCATGGCCGTTTTTCGACAAGATAAATTCCATCATTGGGGATCTTTTTCCGGCGAAGAAGCTATCGTTATCGCCTCCGTCTGTCACTCCTGTTAAGGCTTCGGCATGGGCGCTCGCTCCGGTTGGTCGTCGATCTCGTACGCAGAGTCAGAGCACTCAGAAACGACCTGTGCTGGAAATAACATCGCCTTCGGAGAGCTTGGATGAATCACGTTTTCACCAGAATTTAGCTGCCTTTGCTGCAGCTGCTGCTGCAGCCGCGGAAGAAGAGGTTGATGAATCAAATTCCGATAATTCGGATTCAGATGAGTGGGAGTTGAGCTATGAGAGCAAGAAGAGGAAGAAGGGAAGAAATGATGTGGAATTAGGGCACAGAGAGGTTGCAAGTGCTGCCGAGAAGTTTAGTGAAATACATGAGAGAGTGGACGCATCAAAGCAGAGAAAAAATGTGGCTTTGGAGAAACAAAAGATGCATTTTTCAAAGGATTCTCAGAGGATGCAGCTGCTTAAAACCAACCACTCAAAGTAAGCCTATTCTCTTTCTTTTCTTTTCTTTCTTTGTTTTCTTCATTGATTACTGCATTAGTTGCTGTAAAATTATTATTATGTTGATTTTGTTTTGTTGTTTCGTTTAGTGTTACTGAAGGGTTGATGTAGAATTGTAGATTGTTTAGATAGAGTAGAGAAGATTAATAGTTCTTGTTTGAAGTGGGAATTTTTTATTTTGTATCTTATTTGGTGTATAAGATACGTTGTAGAAAAAAGAATGTGTGAACCAAGATATGGAATATAGTTAGCTCATGTTAAGAGTTTACTTCAAAGAAGAACCATTAGCTAAATTGATGAAGAACTGGGAATCGGTAAGAACTCTATTGAATGATATGCTCAATGCTCTAATGATCACATGTTGAAGATAAAAGAGTTTGAAAATTTGAATGAGTTCTCCAAAGGTGGTATTTTGCACTACAAAGTGAGTGATGGTGATGGTTATTCCAGTTGTGATGTAAGCCGAAAGAATCCTATTGCAGAAGTGTTATTGTATCTTCCAATAATCACAATGTTCAAATGATTGTTTGCTAATATAAATGATGCAAAGAATATTATATGGCATGTAGACGAAATGAAATGTGATTCATCATGTGACTAATTCTAGAAAGTTGACGACCCGTTACTTAATTTTAGAAAATTTCCAAGAAAGATGGGCTTCGACTTGCAACAGATAAAGTGGATTGATATGGTAACTTATTAGTAACTATAGTTCATGATATTTTCTTCTAGTTATCTACTACTTACTTGCACAAATGCATTATATTGTGTTGTATATGATGATTTCGGGCCTAAGGCAGCCAACAAATGACATATGCATTTATCTAAGTCTCTTGATTGAAGAATGTGTTTATGGGTATTTCTGTGGTTATTTGACACTTTTTATGATGTCTTAAAAAAGAGATACGAGAGAATATTCAAACTTGACCATCTTAGAAAATTAAACTGTAATTTTTTACTTTAATTACTTATATGTGATGGTTTCATTTCAATAATTAAGTATATATATGATGGTTTTATTTGAATAATATTTATTTGATTTCTTACAATGGTTTTTATCCATATTAGTTTATCTTAGTAATTTTTATTTTGATTGCTTATAGTAAATTGTACCCATATATGATAGTTTTATTGTTTGTCTCATGTTATTTATCCACTATTTAGAGGAGCTATTGAGTATTATTAGTTTTTGTTTGAACAGACACATGGATGATCTGTTAGCTCACTCCCGAAGTGGTTTAGATACTCTGTCTACCAACAGAAAGCGTAAACGTGGTCCCACACAAATGAAAAAGTTAGCACCTATTGATGGACAAAGGATACCGATTGAATTTGATCAATTAACTGGTAAACCGTCGGGGGAAAACAAAACAAAGTTCAAGAGTTATTTGGGTTTCCTTAGTCGAAGCAAAATCAGTATTTTGCCGAATGAATGGGATTCTGTAGATGAGAACGTGAAGGATGACATTTGGACAACCATCTTGGTAATTGTAATTATGTTTGAAAATGTTGTATTTAACTATCTTATCATCAGCCACTAACTTCTCCATTTTGTCATGCAATGTAGGAAGTATGGGATGTTCCTAATTCTGGGTTCTTACGAAAGAAATTGATGTCGTATGTGGGTGAACGTTGGAGGGGATTTAAGACTCATTTGACTTCCAAATATGTACATGGAGATCATAGTGATAAATCTCCTCTTGAGGTCTATAGTTTTCTCACTGAAGAAATATGGGAGGCATTTGTTGAAATGCGATTAGATCCTTCCTTTCAGGTTAGTTGAGTTTATAATTTCGTTGGTCAACCAAATATATTTTTAGTATTATATTTAATTCGCGTGTATGCGTAATAGGAGAAAAGAAAGAAAGCGCAAATCAGTTCGGCTCTAAACAAACACCCTCATAGATTGTCTCGTGGGGGATACGAGTTGCTTCAGGAGAAGATAATGCAAGAGAAATTAAAACAAAATTATGAATCATTAGGAGATACGGTAGCTACACCTCCATCTCCACCAACCCGCCATGAACAATGGAAGAAAGCTCGACAAAATGCATCAGGAGATTTCATAACAGAGGACACACGCATTATTGCCGAGAAAATTGTAAGCTAATATGCAACTCTAATTTTGTAGTTATGCAACTAACTCACAATTGTCTAAAATATTTTTTAAATTATATGGTGTAGGATTCTCTTGTTGAAAAAACATCTCAAGGAGCTTTTATTCCACAAGGACGTAAAGATATTTTGGCAGAAGCCATTGGCCGACCTGAGCACTCTGGTGGTGTTCGTGGTGTTGGTCGTGGTATCGGTATTCGACAATACTTTGGACCACATTCACGTGAAGCCTCCACTCCACCTGTTTTTAGTAGCCTACAACTAGAGACAATAAAAGTGGAGCTTACTCAACAAATTAGAGAGCAATTGATGCAGGATTTGTCATCTATGGGTTTCTCTAAGAATTTCCCAACTTATTCTCCTAATACCACTGTGCCTGCAAGCCCGAAAGGTAATCACTCCATTGAGCTGCCTATACCAGAGGAGGATGAAATCCCAAAACAATGTGAACTGTACGTTGATAATTTAATTCATGCCGTGGCCTTTGGTAATGTTTACAAGTTAGGGCCCGCCATACATAATCAAATGCTAGAAAATGATATGGTGAGGGTGGTGGTTAACGAGGTCCTAGATGCAAATGTTCCAGTGCCTATGCCCACAGATGAAGTGGAAACGGTTGGGCATGCCCTTAACAATTTCATTCAATGGCCGAAAAGACTTGTGCAGATTATAATTGATAAGGTATTCATTACATTTTTCTTGTACTATATACATCTCAAACCTCTTAAATAAGTTTAACTAATGTTCAGTCCTAATTATTTAGGATGCTGATGGTTCTGCGGAAGAGGACCTTTCAGCTAAAAGGTTGGACCCTCTACTAGATTCCATTCAACAATTGGTTTTAAAGGCAATGTGTATGTCAGAATCTATAAAGCTCGAATTGGAACATGATAGGATGAAGTTTCTCTGGCTCTCACAGAGAGATATTATGGAATTGTGTATGGGTAAACAAGAGTTATCCATAACCATTCTTCGGTTGTGGTTAACGTAAGTATATATATTTTTTTCTTCATGAGTTTAGCTAACCAATTAATGATCATTTATAATTAATACTTTCAATATTTTAGGTATTTGAATCGCCTTTCTATTAATGCGGGTAAGAGTGACTTGTATGGATTTATTGATCCATGTTTTATTCAAAGTCCACATGATCCAACTAAAGCTGTTGCCTACGTACAAAATAAATTATATGATGATAAAAAAGAGTGTTATCTAGCTCCTTATCACAACAAGTAAGTAAATGTTGATTTTAGTTCATTGCTTATAATTGTGAGAATTATATTCAACCCCTATCTAACGATTTGTTCTTCAATGTAGTCGTCATTGGCAATTGCTCGTTATTTGTCCTAGGAAGAATCATGTAGTATTCCTATGTTCGAAGGAAAGAAAGCCAGATAATAATATTATTCACACTATAGATTCGTAAGTGTTTAATTTGTTTATTATGGGTTATGACACAAATATATAACTTTAATTAATCATTTATTGTCTTAGTGCTTTGGATGGATATCATAAGCTGCAAGGTCTTCAAAAGAAGAAGCCAACATGGAATGTCCCAGTAGTAAGTTGTCTAAAATTTCACTTATAACTTGTAGAAGTTACTTCATGTATAAATTTTAATTAATAAATTCACCTTTGATATTCAAATTTAGTGTCAAAGACAGTCTGGTATTTATGAAAGCGGCTACTATATTATGATACATATATTGAACATTGTATCTGATGGTATTATTGATCCATGGAAGAAGAAGGTAATATAGTTTTTTAACAAGTTATATTACTATTTAGTTGTGATTTTTTTTTAATGTTGATGTGCTAATCTTATGTTATTTCAACGTTCATTCAGGTATTTGGTAATTCAGAACCATTCCATGAGGATGAACTTATAAATGTTCGACAACGTTTTGCTAGTTTTATTCTTGAGTATATTCTATAAATTTAAAATGTATGACAATGTATCTCTTCATTATGTTGTTAATTTACTGTGGAGTATTGATTTTGTCTGGCTGTGAATATTCTGCATTGTATTGGAATATCCTTCAAGATTGGATAATAATATGGATTGAAATTTTATACATATATAAAATATGTAAGGTAGTTTGTTAGTTGAAGCTTCATGTGAGACTTGTTTTGAATGAATTTCAATAAAGTAGGGATGTGAAAATATCATTCATAATTACTATCTTGTTTCTGAGGGGGAGAGAGGGAAGTGCACGTTTACAAAAAATTGAATTGCTTACTTTAGGATATTTGTTTGTTTGAACTAAAGTTAGTGAGGCGTTATCATGCTAATTAAAAAACACCAATTTGGGCGTGCAATGACCTCTATTCTGACTTGGAACTCGAATTTATAATGTTGATGGCAAATTATCAGGAAGATGATGTTTGGTCGGTTTTAGTGGAAAGTATCTACAAACATTTATTGACGCTGGACCTTCCACTCTTCGGATTATTTCCTTTGTTTGGCCTTTATTGTGTATGTGTTGATCCAAATTGGAATAGTGGCCCCTAAGCCTTAAAGTCATGAGTCTCATTTGTTAATTATTAGGGAATTAAGGAAAATATAAAATGCCCTTCAGACTTTGATGATACATTGTCGGACATATATTTGTATCACCTTTTGATACATTAAATGAGTGTCATTTCAGAGTAAAATAAAATGAGAGTTTTTTAATCCACTTCTTGATACACTTAGGCACATAGGGAAATTCTTTTTATGCCTATGTTTTCGGAGATACACATTCGGACACATTATTTTTTTTATGCTGAATGTTTTCGGAGATGCATTTACAAAATAAGTTTCGGATATGCAACTTCGAAATCTTATCAGAATAGGCTTCTAAAAAAATATCAAGTTTTGATGGTCGTAGATGAAAATTAACTGTTGCAAATGAATATAAAATGACATACATTCGTAAATAAAATAATATGATATATATATAAGAAGTAATATGGTACATCAATGTCATCAAAAGTATAGTACATCAAAAAAACATCATACTCACTACTATGTGTCTGACCGCCTCCTCTCTGCCGCCTCATCTGTCTCTTTCGCCTCCTCGACCGCCCGATTTACGTCCTCGTCCATCGATCTCACCCGTCCTGGCGCGATGTCTGCATTACGTAAGTGCCCCTCCTGCCACTGCAATGATGTCATCCAATACACGCCTGTGGTTAGACCCCTCAGGGAAGAAACTGACGACAAGCATATCCGTCCCATCTCCACTATCTCAGGACAGCGAGGCGGGACATCCTGAGTGTGGTCCAGCTGAGACTGCTGCTCCTCTAAAATCTCCTGATGAGCTGGTATGGGCGGTGATCCCTCGACAGTGGGCACCATGTAGGGGTGTGATACGGTGAAGAATCACATGATGTTGCCATCAACGCAACTCCAATCTATCGGTGCTCTGGTCGTCCGAGTCTCGTCAGGTACCATGTGCCTCTGGTAGTCGACATAGATCTCGTCTATCTGGATACAGGTCAAGTTGAGAGGAGCAGAGACAGTTGGGTGTCTGGTAATGGTTTAAGTGTAGCTGAACTACCGCATGGCGTGCTCAGACAAATATGGAATAATGATGGTCGAACTGCATGCCAACCATCATGAGAATATGGAGTTAGCGTCAAACAGGCGCGTCACACGATGATCAGCATAGATGTCGTACCAGATGTACTCAACAACCAGGCGATCGAGATAGACTCTATAAGGGTTGACCGCCTGGTTCCCCCTGAGCGAAAGAAAGGCACGGGCATGCGGCATCTGCTTTGTGTAATCAGGTACGCTCCCCACCCGAAGATCATGGGAAAGTGCTGGAATATCTAGACCTGAAATGAAAATAAAAAACATAAGGATCAAGCATTATCTCGAATATATAATGAAAAGAAATGAAAAAAGTTGAAGGATATAAGATTGTTACCACAAGTAGTGTTGTTACCACAAGTAGTGCCACACTCCTTGCCACAATCTTGGTCTTTCACAGGCATCCCTCTCCTAGCCTCGAATACGTGTAAGCCAGGGTAGCCTTCCCCCAGTTGCACTCATGGATCCGTGTGGAATCTAAAAAGTACCTCAGGTAAGCGACATTCGTATATGTGGAGGAAGTGTCCACAAACAGTTGAGGGCCGACTAAAAATAGAAAATAACATCTCAGCACACGCTGTTTGTGTATCTCAACCTCAGCTGGATCACCGTCTGCCTGACATGCAATAACGAGCGCCTCACCAAACCTACGGGTGAGAAAGGAGAACCTGACATGAGCCCCTCTGGTCTTACCCACCACCTTCAGCGGATCTAGTGGATCAGCCCCAAGCGCCTCGACCAACATCTCTCTCGCATCCTCCTTCGTCATCCTACCATGACGAAGGAGGGTACCCCTAATCAGTATATGTAGCAAACATGAGATGTCGTCAAGTGTGACCCTAAGCTCGCCATGCGGTAGATGGAAGGAGGACGTCTCAGGGTTCCATCTCTCCGCAAATCCCACCAGCATCCCGTTGTGGATTACGTTGTAACCGATCTCACAAAGGTCCTTCAAACCAGAGGCGAAAAGGACATCCTGGAACTAAGCCTCTTATGGCTGCTCCAAAGATAATATCTTTCGCCCGTGGTTATAGAACTTCTGCGGAGGATGAGTCTAAAAATTTCCATAAATAGGAAAAAATGTTAATAAGAAAAAATGGTACAAATTATGAAATTCTGATGAAAAAAAAAGATACAATATGAGCAATGTTACCTCTCTATCTCAGACATGTCTGGCAGTATCGTCAGCGTACTGTGTCAGTAGGGCCATATTTGAGGGACCCCCTGGGAAACCCTCAGGCTCATCATCGTCGTCGTCACCAGCATCCTCCGATGGTGGGTCATCACCCTATGGGGGTGGCACCAGATCAACATCACAAGGAGAACCAGGAGTATCCCGACGAGGTATGCGGGAGGACATGACCTGTGATGAACCCTCAACTGAATCCTGATGCCTCTGGGATAAAGAAGTGGGTGATGGGATGTGATACGAGGTGGAGGGAATGTCCTGGGCATGTGATAAAGAAATACGTGTCTCAACTATATTGACCTCGGTAACGGTGGTCTGGCTCCACTCGCGTCTCACAGATGCATGTTGTGAAACTCGTCTAAGTCATAATCTATCTTCTCTGTCTACCATAACGTCTGCAAGGTATAACCAATAAAAAACAATTAGATACAAATAAACTAAAAAACGAAAAAGAAAAATAAAATTAACATTTTTTTTACTTTTGGATGTATACATGCAGAAAAACCCAAAATTCAGAAAGTTAGACTTGTTCCGGAGCTGCATCTCCGGAATTGCCCTAACGTTAATTTTTTTCCGTAGATGTAGCTTCGAAACTTCCTGCAATTCCTACAGCAACGTCAATGGTGGCCTCCACCCAAGAAAATCGGTTTTTTCAACCCCTGGTCGTCCGTTTCAGCCAACAAACAATACCTACATTGCCTCTAAACTATGTTTCTAAAACTATTTAACGATTTCTACCCCTAAAGGTATATTCTAACTTTTTTACTAGAAATACTCAAAAATACCTTAGAAACTCGAAAACTTACGGATTATGTCGAGCTTTGAATGAGTTGGAGTGTCTTGACTGTTGAGATGAATGCTTCTTGTCGAACTTGATTGAAAACAATTAAGTTTGGTGGAAGTAGTTTTTTTTAGGTTTGAGAGAGTTTGAGAGTGAGAATTTGAAAAATGAAGAATGAGGGAGGAGAAGGGACTCTGGCGCGAATGTATTCTGATTTGTTCCTGAGCTATATAAACGAAAAAATTCTGTAGATGTAACTCAGGAAAAAACCAACGTTAAGTAAATAAAAGGTGCTTCCGGAGATACATCTCCTGAAGCAGGGGGTATTTTTAGAAGCGTACATGGTGCCTAAGAAGACCAAGGGATGGGGGTAAGAATCTCACAATAATATTTTATTTTATAGATGTATCTTCGAGTATTTTCAACAAATATATTGATATTTGAGCAACCCAATTAATATACTGTAGATGCATCTTTGGAGGTTTGGGGAATAATTTTAAAATATCTATTGTAACGCCCGTTCATTTTAATTAAATTATTTATGAATTGTCGGTGTGCCTTTACGTGGGAGTGTGTCTGAGAGCGTTGGTGGGTATCCTTAAAGTATAGGAAACCATTTATTAAATCATTGAGATTGATAATAATATAATATAATTAATAATGATGATAATTTAATAACTAGTAGTAATATTATTATTATTATTATTATTATTATTATTATTAGATGGAATAAAGGGAATTAGGGAGTTATTAGAGAAGTTGGGGGGAGAAAGAGGGTTATCACGATAAACTGCTCAGAAAACCAAATTTGAGGAAAAAGGTTGAAGAAAAGGAGGAACGTGGTTGTTGAGAGAAATGGAGAACAGAGAATCATCCATCAGAGAATTGGAAGATAGTTGCAGAAAAGCCGCCGGAGAGTAGAACCAGAACCGGAAGCTTGGAATTGGCCTCTATTCTAAGGTAAGGGTGGGGTTCAATTCTATAACCGTGGGTATGATCAATTTCATGTAGGGAATTGATTCATAGGTATAATTTTCGTCAATAAATAAATGTTAGGGACAATGTTTTTATGTAAGAATGAATATGTTATATATGATGCTCTAAGGTTTCCCTAATGGGGCAAATACGTAGTAATGTTCCCGTAAGTTGAAGAAAGAAATATTAAAGATTAATGTTACCGTAGTAACGTTACCGTAGTAACGTTACCGTAGTAACGTTACCGTAGTAACGTTACCGTAGTAACGTTACCGTAGTGATGTTCCCGTAGTGATGTTCCCGTAGTAATGTTCCCGTAAGTTGAAGAAAGAAATATTAAAGGAATATTAAGGGTAAATGTTCCCGTAGGTTGATAAATATTAAGGGTTAATGTTTGTCTATGCCTGCATTAAT